AGGCCCCTCTGTCCATGGGATTCTCCAAGCAAGAATACTGCAGGGGGTTGCCATTTCCTCCTCCAGGGGATCTTCCAGACCCAGGGACCGAACCCAAGTCTCTTACATCTCCCTCATTGGCAGGCGGAATCTTGACCACTAGCTCCACCTGGGAAAGTGTCAGTTTATACTATCGTTAATGAATCACAATCCTGATCCTGTTCCTGTCCCCTGAAAGAGAACATGGCTACCCACTCCACTAGTCTTGCCTGGAGAATCCCATTGACAGAGGAACCAGACTGGCTACAGTCCACGGAGTCACAAAGAGTCAAACATGACTGAAGTGACGGAGCCCTCACACACACGCAAGCAGATGACATGTTGGCACAAAGGAACTTGCATGTGGGAGGGATGCAGGGGGACGTGGCGGCCTCCAGGTTGAATGAAAAGTGCTCTGATTTTACGTGAGACAGGCATTCCATGGGAATGCTTCCTTGTGAATCAGGGATTGCATTAATTGAGTAACAAATATCATAGAGCTCCTCAAACTCTTATCTTGTTGTGCATCATTCCACACATAGCAGGACCCCACACATGCTGCAGAGCTCTGCTCTCTGCAGATGCTCAATGGTATTTGAAAGCAGGGACCCTAAAAATTACGTAGCTATTCCTGGTTACAAGACTGTGGACCTGCAGTGACCTCCTGATGTGCTGGTTTTCCCAGAGCATGACCACACGTCACAGGTCTGGGTGACGCATCATTCCTGGCAGAGGTCATTTGGGGGCATGGTGAGGACCACACATGATAAGGTCAGACTAGAGTAGGATTCCTTGCTCTAACAGTTAAGAAATATGAGATCTGGGCAGGTCACTTCCCCTTAGATAAATAAGCAGATAAAAATAATACTTATCTTGCAATATCATTGTGAGCATTAAAACATATCAGGAAAGAATGTCTAGGAAGGGCTGTCCACTCTACCAGCACCTGGGTCTCATTGGCTGGCAGTCGATGCCCAGCAACCACTTCCTGAGCTGGGGCAGGAGTGTTTTTGTACCAGAGACACCTGATCATTCAGGGCTGTGTATTCCCTGCTGGCACAGAGATACAGAGTTGAGTCTGTCAGCTCCAAGGAGCTCAGTTTCATCTGAGATCGAGAATCACCGAACTGTTCACCTGAGAATCGATCTGACATATTTCCTTTTGTATGCACTTTCCCATCATAATACTGAACAAGGAACTGGGGGCCCTGGCCCAGGGCCTGTTGGTACCAGGATACATAGTGGTGTCCAGATTCAGGGGAACATCTCAGCGTCACTTGCTGTTTTCTTGATTTGATCAGATATTTGGGGGTCTGAGTGACTTCAGAATCTACCAGGCCTGTTGGGGAGGAGACAAGAAAGCTGAGGGCAGAGCACAGGGAAGCCTCCCACTGCAGCCCTCATCACTGGGCTTCTATCTCAGGGAGGCAAAGACATCTCAGAAGCTCCCACACTGTGTGCAGGCCTCACCTGTTCCCAGGAGGCAGAGAGTCAAACAGCAGAGGAACCTGGAGCCCATGGCAGCATCAGGAACCCAAGACTGCTGCTGGCTAGGGGCGGAGCTCCTGGGCTGAGTGGTATAAAGTGCTGACCCTCCTGCTTCCCTGATTGGAGCATTGCCTATGAGGTCACTGCTCTGTGTCTCTGCAGGCTGCCCTTGTCCCCTGGACCCCTTGGGAGGACCCAGGGCTGGCTCCTCTATGCCATTCCCTGTCCTGCACAGCCCCTCAGCAAAGACTGGGTGTGAGGTGAGTTTCATCCCCTGGTCAATGTGCCCACAACATGTCTTGTTCTGCTCTGTCTGACCCACCTGACGCTCACCACCAAGCCCTCACCAGATATCCCAGCCTCTCACCCTCCCCTTCCCATACTGCTCCAGGAGATGCCCCCTGGGCACATCCTGAAGCTCCAGGTAGGTGCCCACTCCCCTGGGCAGTGAGGAGTCTGTGCTGGCTCCACGTGTCCCAGGACCACTCAGGGAACTCAAACCTGCTCCAAGATGCAGGCATGTAGCCAAGGTTCCCTTAAGCTGCCCTTCCCATGGTGACCCTCAAGTCCTCCCAAAACACCATGCTTACCATGGAAACACAGTGCCTCCAAGTGGCCAAAGGTCTACAGTCTCATGGATTAGCAGCGTATGTTTAAAGCAAGGGTACAAAAATCCCACACCCTGAGGACACATACACACACACCTGTTCTACTGCCTTCCTAGCCTGGCTAATTAGGGTTGATTTTCAAATCCACTCTTAGCCTCTGGAGGTGGAATACTGTATGATCTGACCGTTTTACTAAGAAGGAAATAGTTGCTGCATCACTACAAAGATGGTAGTTAGCTAAAGATGGAAATATATCATCATAAAATAAATACTCAGAGGATCTCAAGTGAGTCTGCAAACATGTCTTCATAACTACTTCTGATTAATCAGAGACATATATTTTGAGATTTCCTATTTAAATTAAGCATTATAAAATTCCATGTAATACTTTTTATAAAGAAGTTTTATAAATGTGGACTCAATTATTTCTGCAGTTATAAAATCATGATATAATGGGGGAAATGCAGGATATATTGTGTCGTTCAGAAGATTCTGATGACGGCGCCAGGTGGTGCCAACATGCCCTAGGTTATGAGAGATGCTAAGGATGTTGGAGGGCGGGGGGTGTGTGTCAAGAACACACAAAGGCAGTCTGTTCTCCTTCAGATGGACTCAAGTGAATTTTTGGATGATTTATAATTAACTAAAGCTTGTTTCTTTTTCATGAGTCCGTATATGCTGCTCAAAACAGACCACGTGGAGAGGTCACTTTAAAAGCCTCCCTGTGACATGGGAAGGGACCTGACCCAGATGAGGGAGGAGCAGTGTGGCTGTGGTAGAGAGGGCCAGGGAGCTGATGCAGGGAGGTGGGGAGAGGAATGTCCTGCCTGCCTGGGAAAGGTGGGCAAGAGCTGAGANCAGGGCCCTCATCTGCCTTTTTGCACAGAGAGGAGGTGGCCGTGCAGCGCTGTGGAGTAACTGCTGGCGCAGAAGTACACAGATGTCTGGGAGCGGTTGGCAGACTTCAGCGTCAGAGGGAAGTTCTCTTTGTTTGATCTGGAGACGCTGTAACCCTCGGGAACATCTCCCGGCTCGCTACTGGGCGCACCAGATGAGTAATAGGTCAGCCTCAGCCCGTGTCCCGGGTCTTGTCAGTACCAGCACATATAGTTATGACCCAGATCCTGAGTACATTTCAGTGTCGTGCTCTGTCCTGTCCTCACGACCTGGAATCTGGGGTCCTGGGTAACACCAGCGTGGACCGCCCCTGTGGAGAAGGAGGACCGATGCTGCAGTCACAGTGAACATGCTCAGTGCTGGCACCCCCAAGGGGACCCTGCCCCCAGGACTCACCTGCCTTCAGGAAACAGAAGACCACACAGCACAGGAGGCAGGGGCTCATGGCAGGGGCGGGGCAGGCAGAGTGTCCTGTGGTCTGAGTGTGGATGAGAGGGGATCGAGGCTCTCCAGGGAGTCCGTCTGAAATGTCACTGTCCCTCCCAGGCCTCAGAGCGGATCTGCCACAAGGCGGCCACGCCCCTTCCCCCAGAGACTCAAATTGAGAGGGAAACAGGCAGGAAGGCCAGGGGTCTCCAAATGGAGGAAAGAGGCTGCAAGAGCCAATCATTTTTATCTCTCTTAAGCAGCAGGAAGAAGCAAACCAGAGATAGATTTCTCCTTCTCTATACAAATTTAAAAGGAGGTTTCTCTTAAAATGCTGTGTTGCCATGACACCGGGTCTCACCTAAAGCTAACTACTCTCAAACCTTGAGTTAACCAATACATTTCTTTTTCTTATGGAAATGTTGTCTTAAGCTATGTTAATGTACCCTAGACTCTATCTTCAAGTTGGTTCCACCAAACAGCCTAACTTACTTACTCAGATATTGTTCCCTAATCTATGTAAATGAAACTATTTGTTGGTATTCTGACCTTCTACAAGATTCAAGTCAATCGTTTTATGGCCAGGGATGAATTATCTGGTGCCATTCTAAATTTTATGACACTCCTTTCTTTTCATTAACAGACTGTGAGTGACTATATAACATACAGCTAAAGACTAGGAGGGGAGTATTCTTCTGTCCCCTTCTGATGCCTATGTCAGAAGCTTTCTCTATCTCCTTTATACATTAATAAAACTTTAATAAAGCTTTTATTACACAAAAGCTCTGAGCGATCCAGCCCCATCTCTGGCCCCGGATTGAATTCATCTCCTCCGGAGGCCAAGAATCCCGCGTCTTATCGTTCAGCAACAACCATTCAAAATCAAAGATGAACCTCAGAGAGTCACTTCCTAGAGTGGTTGAGAAGAAGTCTAGGGTCCCCGAGAAAGAGAAAGAAGTCCAGAGCCCTAGAGAAGGTGAAAAGTGTCCAGGGCTCTCAAGGAGAAAAGAACAAACATTTTTTCTACATTGCTTTGTTTAGTCAATAGAGCACTGTATCTTGCTCGAGGAGATGTTTCTCCTTACCAAGAACCTTCTAACTAATCTCCTTATCTTAAGATGTATTTTGTGGAAGTAGGTTCGGTGAGACATTTCCCTTGTCAGTTGTCAGTTCTAATCTTGTTAATTTAAGATGTATGTTGTGAGTGGGTCTGATAAAACTATATAAGGCCTTGATAAGACTAGCAAGTGGGGGCACTCTCCCTCCCCCTTCAATGTCTATGTCAGAAGCTTTCCTTGTCCCTTTTTATACTTTAATAAAACTCAGCTACACAAAATCTCTTGAATGATCAAGAGTGGTCCCTGGTCCCGAAGCTAAATCGTCTTTGGAAATCATGAATCCGACACCTTTCAATGGAAGCTATCAAACCTGAGTGAACAGTTCATTACAAGGAGACCCATTCAGCTCACCGGACATAAGCCTTACAAGTTGCTGTAATCTTTCTGTGAAACTGATCAAATTGTTTGTATGTTCTAGTCCAGAGATAATTTTTCATNGCCAGGGTAAACGGAAAAGGCTCTCTTTTTATTTGAGACATTCCTCCCATAGGAATACCTCCTTGTGAAGTGTGGCTGCCATTCATTGAGTAGCAATTCATATCATAGAGCCCCAAATTGTATCCTGTTACACATAATACAACGTGTATATGTAATTTGCTTGTACAGAGAAAGAACCTTGAGCAAGGGGACCGCAGGTTTAGAAAACAGTCTTGAGCTGGATTGCAAACTATAACACTTATGAGGTATGAGATCTGGGCAACTCACGACCCCTCAGATGTACAATCAGTTAAAATAATACTAATCTTGATGACCGTAGTGAGCACTTAAACATACCAAGAAGTGAATGTCTGGGAAAGTCTATCGCTCTACCAGAGACTGGGCTTGGCAGGCTGGCAGCTGACACCCTGCGCACCACTTCCTGAGCTGGGGCAGGAGTGTTTTTGTCCCAGAGGCACCTGATCATGCAGGGCTGTGTCTTGGCTGCTGGCACAGAGATACAGGGCAGAGTCCGTCAGCTCCAAGGGGGTCAAGCTCAGCTCAGAGCGAGAGCCACTCAACTGTTTTCCTGAGAATCGATCCGATATGTTTCCTTTTTGATACTCTTCCCCATCAAAATACTGAACGAGGAACTGGGGGCCCTGGCCCAGGGCCTGTTGGTACCAGTACACAGAGCGGTGTCCAGATTCAGGGAAACACATCAGAGTCGCTTGCTGCTTTCTTGATTTAATCAGGTATTTGGGGGTCTGGGTGACTCCAGAATCCACCAGGCCTATTGGGGAAGAGACAGATGGAAGCTGAGGGCAGAGCATAAGGGAAGCCTCCTGCTGCAGCCTTCATCACCAGGCTTCTATCTCAGGGAGGCAAAGACATCTCAGAAGCTCCCCGATGTGTCCAGGACTCACCTGCTCCCAGGAGGCAGAGAGTCACACAGCAGAAGAGCCTGGCGCCCATGGCAGCATCAGGAACCAAAGACTGCTGCTGGCTGGGGGTGGGTCTCCTGGGGTGAGTGATGTAAGTGCTGAGCCTCCTGCTTCTGTGATTGGACCATTGCCTATGACGTCACTGCTCTCTGTCTCTGCAGGCTGTTTCCTGATCCACTGGACCCCTCGCCAGGACTCACAGCAGCACTGCTGCTGTGATATTCAACTTCTCAATAATTTCTGAACCTGAATATCATGCACCTGGTCATGAGCGGGTGACCGTGGGGACTTCCCGATGTGCTGGTTTCCATGGAACCCAATCTCACGTCTGGGGTCCGGGGGACTCACCATTCCTGAGGCCTCAGAGGCAAAAACACAGAAACTAAAGTCAGAAGCAACGAATGAGCCCAATTTTGTGGCTACAAAACAAGCCTTGAATTGGGGCCTGGCAAGTCCATGGGATCCACACCTGTGCTCAGAATGTCTCTGGTCCAAGAGACAGTGGGGCCACAACACAGGAGACTGGTAGCCAGGCCAGGCCGCTACAGAAAGGGGGACTTCCACAGCAGAGGAAGAATATCTGGGAGAGTCTATCGGATCTATCTAGGCCTGGAAGGCAGGCAGTCACCCTCACTACCACTTCCTTAGCTGGCGCAGGAGTGTTTTTGTGTCAGAGGCACCTGATCATGCAGGGCTGTGTCTTGGCTGCTGGCACAGAGATACACGGCTGAGTCCGTCAGCTCCAAGGAGCTCAAGTTCAGCTCAGAGCGAGAGTCACTGAACTGTTTTGCTGAGAATCGATCCGGGAGCTGTGCTTCTCCATTCACTTCCTCCCTGTAATACTGAACGAGGAACCGGGGGCCCTGGCCCAGGGCATGTTGGTACCAGTACAAAGAGAGGTGTCCAGAGACAGGGGAGCATCGCAGTGTCACTCACTGTCCTCTTGCCTTAATCAGGTATCTTGGGGTTTGGGTGACTTCAGCATCCACAAGGCCTGTGGGAGAAGAAGACTGGGGCTGAGAAAGACCGCAGGAGAGAAGCCGATGGTGCCTTGGTTTCAGGCAAAGTCAGGCTAGGAACACGGATTCTGTCCTGTGCCAAGGACCCACCTGCTGCCAGGAGACAAAGAGCCACACAGCAGACGGGGCTGCAGCCCATGGCAGGAGGGGCAGAGCAGTCTGGCGTCTCCTTGCTCAGAGCTCTGCTTCTCTGAGAGCTGGCGTTCTGGGACTCTGTCCTCTGATTGGAGGTGAGGCAGTGATGTCACTGCTCTGATGCCATTGCCCCTGTGGGTCCCAGGAACCTGACCTCTCATTCCAGGTCAGCTGATCCAGGAACGCTACTCTGTCCTGCAGTCTCCTAGATGACGTGTGAGCTGGACTGCTGGTCTGGGTGAGGCTGGGTTTATGCCCGACACCCTTCCCCGTGGCTCCTTCGCTTCTCTCTTCAGGCTGGTGTTTCTCTTTTCTGTTTCTTTCCTACCAAGTCCCATCTCCATACCCTTCACTTTTTCTGCAACCTCAGAGGCTCCTTCAGCATTGCATATTTGAAGTTCATGGCTCACAGCTGGGATAGCTAGCCTACAAATTAGTGCCTTTGCCAGTCAGGCTTCTAGAAATAAAAACCCCAAATGAAGCTTTCTGTTAACCGTGCTGGTCCCGGGCACTAGCCCTGTCCCCTTGCTCTGCCCCAGAAACTTCTGGAGTTTGCCAGTTCCACAGCATCCCCATGTGAGGTATGTGGAAACCAAGACTGCCTGCCCAGATTTAATAGTCATGGGATGTTTTCATATTAGAAAATATTTCACTATTTGCTGACTGCACTGCATTTTTGCTTGTTTTGTTTTTCTAAAGAACATACACGCAATTAGAAATACAAACTCACAAACCAGCCTTCCTTAGCTGATTTATGATTCTGTATTTCAAGAGAAAAGAAAAATGTTCATGCAGGAAACATTTAACTTTGGCTTTTAGAAGATTGTGATGAGGGAAATGGTACAAACTTGGGTTAGTTTTTGTTGGTGGTGGTGGTGTTCAATTGTTAACTCGAGTCCAACTCTTGAGACCCCATGCATCGCAGTGCACCAAGCTCCCCTGTTCTTCACTGTCTCCCAGAGTTTGCTCAAATTCATGCCTTTTGAGTCAGTGATGCTATCTAACCACCTCTTTCTCTGCCACCCATTTCTCCTTCTGCTCTCAGTCTTTCCCAGCATCAGGGTCCAGGCTATGTCGATGCTACAGACAGGCCGTGGTGGAGACACACTCACCGCTCGTCCCTCCCTCTGCTGAGGGGCCACAGAGGGATCACGGGTGACTCATCACTGACTGCGGGGGCGTTCTCTCTGAGGGCCCCAGGGAGCCTGCTCAAACAGGACCACTCGGGATCATTACAAGGTTCCCTGGGTGGTGCTCTAGGACTTGACCCAGATGAGGGAGGAGAAGCAAGGCTGAAGTAGAGAAGGGTGGGAATGAGGGCCCTTAGGTGAGAGAGGAAAGACCCCACATCTGGGGAAGTTGGACAAGAGCAGAGACCACACAAGGGCCAGCCTGGGGGAGAATCTTCCACAGCTACAGGCATGTGGTGCCCGGGGAGAGACAATAGGGTCTAGATGTACCTGATTTCCCAACACCCTTCCCTCCTGGAGGCCTCCTGTTCAGGCTGATACTAGGAATCAGAGCTGGCTAGCATCTTTAGGCTCTTGTGGGAGCTACGGTGAAAAGACAGAGACTGAAAATGGACACATGTCCATGAGGCCCTGTTGTCAGCTTGTGCCAGCCAAGATCTAAAACTACTGGCTATGCTGCCAGTGTGTCTGTGGGCTGCGAGGCTCCAGGTGCTAGGAGCCTGCAAGGGGCTCCCCAATGTTCAGGCTGCAGAGTCCTCATCTGCCTTTTTGCACAAAGAGGAGGTGGCCAGGAAGCGCCGTGGAGTAACTGCTAGCACAGAAGTACACAGATGTCTGGGAGCGGTTGGCAGACTCCAGTGTGAGAGGAAAGTTCTCTGGTTTTGGTCTGGAGATGCTGCACATCTCCTTCCTCTGTGTTGGGAGTCATAGGTGAGTAATGTATCAGCCTCAGCCGGTGTCCCATGTCTTTTCCATACCAGTACATAGAGTTATGTCCCAGATCCTGAGTACAATTAAGTGTGGCGCTCTCTCCTGTCCTCACGACCTGGAATCTGGGGTCCTGGGTGACACCAGCATGGACCGCCCCTGTGGAGAAGGAGGACCGATGCTGCAGTCACAGCGGACATGCTCAGGGCTGGCACCCCCAAGGGGACCCTGCCCCCAGGACTCACCTGCCTGCAGGAGACAGAAGACCACACAGCCCAGGAGGCAGGGGCTCATGGCAGGGGCGGGGCAGGCGGAGGGCCCTCTGGTCTGAGTGTGGATGAGAGGGGAGAGGGGCTCTGCAGGTAGTCCTTCTGAGATGTCACTGTCCCTGCCAGGCCCCAGAGCCGACCCGTGACTCAGGGGGACATGCCCCTTCCCCCAGAGGCTCAAATCAGAAATGAAACTAAGTCAACAGTTCACATATGATCGACCTAGGCAGCGTATTAAAAAGAAGAGGCAATTTATTTGCCAACAAAGGTCCATCTAGTCAACACTATGATTTTACCAGTAGTCACGTGCATATGTGAGAGTTGGACTATAAAGAAAGCTGATCGCTGAAGAACACGCTTCTAGAGATAAAAACACCAAATGAAGCTTTCTCTTAACCCTCCTGGTCCCAGGCACTAGTACTTTCCCCTTGCTCTGCCCCAGGTCAGATCCAGGCCTGTTCAGATCCCACATCCAGGGTCACAGTGCTGACCAGTGGTCCCCAGGGCATGAGGTTTCCAGTGCTAGGAGCCTGCGTGTGGGCCCCCTGTCTTTTGTACCGAGAACAGGTGGCCGTACAGTGGTGTGGAGCAACTGCTGGCGCAGAAGTACACGGATGTCTGGGAATGGTTGGCGGACTCCAGCGTGAGAGGGAAGTTCTCTGTGTTTGGTCTGGACGCTGTACCCATCGGGCACGTCTCCTTGCTCCGTGGAGGGAGGCATAGCTGAGTAATAGATCAGCCTCAGCCCATGTCCCGGGTCTTTTCAGTACCAGCACAGAGTTATGACCCAGATCCTGAGTACATTTCAGTGTGGTGCTCTCATTTCAGTGTCCTGTCCTCACCACCTGGAATCTGGGGTCCTGGGTGACACCAGCGTGGACCGCCCCTGTGGAGAAGGAGGACAGACGCTGCAGTCACAGCGGACATGCTTCATGCTGGCACCCCGAAGGGGACCCTGCCCCCCAGGACTCACCTGCCTGCAGGAGACAGAGACCACACTGGGTGGGGGGGGGCAAGCAGAGGGCCCCCTGTTCTAAGTGTGGATGAGAGGGAAGAGGGGCTCTCCAGGGAGTCCTTCTGAGATGTCACTGTCCCTGCCAGGCCCCAGAGCTGACCTATACTCAGGGACCACGCCCCTTCCCCCAGAGGCTCAAATCAGAAATGAACCTGAGTGAACTGCTCACAGCAGGGAGACCCATCCAGCTCAGTGCACACAAGCCTTAAAAGTTCTTCTAAACTTTCCGTAAAACTGTTCACATCTTTAGGTACATTTTATTCCAGGAATACTGTTCATTAATACATACATTCATTTTATTTGTCTACATATTTCTGTGATTTTGAATCTCAGGGAAAATCCTCAGGGCTTCCTGCTGCCCTTTAGGACTCACATGTCCCAAATAATCGCTCATGCTTCTACTTTGTTAAATTGACAGCAGTCCTGTTCATGTCCTGCCACCCACAATGATTCTGGATCTGGTTCCTCAACATTAGGGCAGGCTCATCAACACCTGAGGAATCCTTGGGCTCTCTTTCTTATTAATTCACCGACTGACGGGGTGCCTGCCAAATGCAGGCTCAGCGCCGTCGTGTTCACCTGAGCACGTGCTTCTGGTGTCTGAGGGGTGGGGGAGCAGCGGGCCGAACCACCTCGGGCCTGTGGCCCACCTTGCTTTAAGGAGAGAAGCTGGCTGCCCAGCACCATGGATGACA